TTTAACTAGACAGCCTAAATTTAATCTCAGCTCTACTACTAACTGACAATTTGGTTAAAATACTTAAATTCAGGTTGTGATTACATCATCTGTAAACTAGGGATCATGGCAATATTAATTCAGTGTCCTTACAAGCACATGCCAGACACGTAGAACTATGCCTGGAATATATTTAGAGTTCAAGTAAATATGAGATACCAAGAGCGCAATATGAGAACTCAAGTAAATATGAGACTCACCAACATGCTGATACTAGAATGAATAAAAATCTTTGCCTTCATGGGGCTTTTATTTGGGGGAGAAAGCAGCCAATAAATGACATAAATAAGTAAAATAGTACGCTAAACAGTATAAACTGCAAAGAAGAAAAATAAAGCTGGGAAGGGCCAAGGAGGATTGAGAGTTTCAGACAGGGTGACTAGGGAAAACATTACTGAGAAGTTATATTTGAGCAAGATTTAATAGAATTAGGGGTATAAGGTGTCCACTATATGGGGAAGGGCATGCCAGGCAGAGGTACCAGCAAGTGTCAATGTCCTGAGGCAGGATCATGCCTGGTTTGTGTGAGGAATAACAGGAGGACAATGTGGCTGAAGCAGAGAAAAGAAGAAAGTTGTAAGAGGCAATGCAAAGAGGTAAAGGATGGTTATGTAGTATCTTGCAAGCATTTATAAGACCTGGCTTTTCCTCTGAATGAAAGCAGTCTTGGAGGGTTTTAGGCACAGGATTTCAACTCTGGCTTCTCTGTTAAGACCAAAAGGGAAGGGAGCTCAAAGGAGGAAACAAGGAGAACTCTTAAGGGACTACTGCAATAAAGCAGATGAGAAATGATGGTGACTTGGATGAGGGAGGTGGTGAGAGGTGGCTAGATTTAGATATACTGAAGAAAATGTTGAGAAGATTTGCTATTAGTTTGTATATGAGGTGTGGAGGGAAAAGAAGAGTCAAAAATAACTCCCAAGTTTTTGCCTGGAGCAACTGAAAGAACAGAGTTGCCATTTACTGAGATGGAGCAGTTTGAGTTGGGGAGGAAGATCAGGATCTCAAGTTTAGACTCGGACATTCAAATGGAGCTGTGGAACAGACAGTCTGGTATGTAAGAGCACTCTAGCTGAAGATATATCATAAATTTCAGTTATCAGGAAAGGGACAGCATTTAATGTTAGGACACTAAATAAGATTACTGGGAAAATGATGAGGATAAAAAGAAGACTGAGCCTAGAAACAGTCCAATATTTACAGGAAGGGGAAATGAGGAGAAACCAGCACAGGAAATGACAGATGAGTCAAAGAGGTAAGAAGGAAAATAGGAGAAACACTTTGAAAGTATTTCAGGAAGTGATTAATTACAGTAAGTACTGCTTCTGTTGTACATGCGGTCACTATGAATCTGAAGCAAGCTGACAGCACCTAACAACAACAACTGCTTATGGGTTAAAATTAACAGTATGTCCTACTGCTTCAAACTCCAAAATATACCTGAAGAGTTGCTGTTTGGGAGCTCTGGTAGCATTGTGGCTAAGGCACCTGACTGCTAACCAGAAGGCTGGCGGAACAAACCCACTAGCCACTCCTCGGAAGGAAGATGGGGCAATCTATTTCTGTAGTGATACTGCCTCGGAAACCCAAGGAGGGGTCGCTATGAGTCGAAGCTGACTCGACGGCACATAACAACAACAACAAAGTTGCTGTTTATTCCATCTCTACTGTTAACATCCAAGTCTCTCTTGTAACCTACCTACCAGCAACAAGAATGACTTTTGAAAATATAAATCATATTATGTCAATGCCCTACTTACCCTTTTTAATTGAATTCCACTGCATCTAGAACAAAATCTAAACTCCTTACTTGGTCCACAAGGACATTTATGATCTGGTTCCTGCCTACCCTTCTGACCTCATTCCTCCTATGTACTACCTCTCATTAATTTCTATTTATACTGGCATTCATTTAGTTCTTAAAATATATCAGTCTCATTCATTGCCTTTTTATCTTGTCTCTTATACTCAGAATACATTCCTCTGGCTCTTCATCTGGATGGTCTCAACACTGAGGACTCAAAGCTCAAATATATCCTTAGAGAGGCCTTGTATGGCTGATCTGTCAAGATCTAAATTATCTCCTTTATTTGTTTACTTGTAAATTGTTCATATCCCCTGAGGTTGTGAATTCCTCAAGGACAGACATATATTACAGTGTTTAAAACTCTGCATATGATAAACCCACCAAAAAACCTAACTCCTATCATTGAATTCCAACTCACGTTGACCACCACTGGATTTCCAAGGCTGTAATCTTTACAGAAGCAGTCTCTCTCATCTTTCTTCCATGGAGAAGCTAATGAATTTGAACTACTGACTTTTTGGTTAGCAGCCAAATGCCTTAATCACTATACCACTAAAAATTCAAATCAAACCCACCACAATCGAGTAATTCCAACTTATAGCAACCCTCATTGGGTTTCCAAGGCAGTAAATCTTTACAGAAGTAGACAGCCTCATCTTTCTTCTGTGGAACAGATGGTGGGTTGACACCACCAATCTTTTGATTTGCATGCAATCAAATGATTTAGGCACTGTAACACCAGCGCCTTACTACACTACTAAACAAACAAACAAAAAAAAAAAAACAACAACATCTAACTACTGCCCTCGAGTCGATTCCCACTCACAGTGACCCCTCCATGGGTTTCCAAGGCAGTATATATCTATGGAAGTAGATTGTCCAGTCTTCCTTCTGAGGAGTGACTGATGGGTTTGAACCACCAGCCTTCTGGTTAGCAGTCAAGTGCCTTAGGCACTATGCCAACATAGCTCCCCTCCCTACTACACCACTAGATCTTGATAATTATTTGATAAAATATCTGTCCTTTCACAATACCAAAAGAATATTATCAGGACATTGGTTTAACTTTTTAACCCAATGCAGGCATCAGTTCTACAATGATGATCCATCGAGTGGATCATCATTCAACAGCATCTTTAGCATCTCCAGTGATGGCAAGCTTATTACATCATGAAGCAGTGCAGTCCATCTTGGGACGGCTCTAAGTGTTTGAAAAGTCTTCTTTCTACTAAATCAAACCTCGCTCCATGCAATTTCCACCCACTGCCTTCGGAGTTATGTCAAGTAAGTCTAAACTCTCTTGTAGACACAGTTCTTCACCTGGTAGAAAATAGTCGTATATACTCCCTTTATTTTTACAGGACAAATTTTTCATTCCTTTCAGTGATGTTCCATATGATATGGACTTTGAGTCTCCTCCTTTACATGCAACTATGGAAATTTCGAAATTTTCAATTTGTATCTCAGAACTTACCAAAGTTCCCCACTATTTCCTCTGATTGGCATAAAATCAGCAGAGCATATATCTTTCTTATTTTATCTATATACAATACTAATATTTATACCAGCATAATGAACTGTTCTCACAGAAGAGTTCTAATTCAAATTTCTAGTATTTTTCATAGGAACTGCTGTAAGTCTAAAGGCCCCAATCTCCCCACCCTTCTGTAGATGTGAAGGTATTTTCTGAAAATCTATGTGAAGAACTTTATATCTGTCGTTATTATTGTTAGGTGCCAATGAGTCGATTCCAAGTCACAGGGCCCCATATGATAGAGTAGCACTGCCCCATTGGGTTTTCTTGGCTGTAATCTTTACAGAAGCCATTCACCAGGTCTTTCTTCCACAGAGTCGCTGTGTGGGTTCGAGCTGTCAACTTTTTGGTTAGTAGCCAAGTAATTAACCACTGCACCACCAGAGCTCCTTACATTACATCTACTGTTAAACATATTTTGTTACTTTTGCTATACTGTCACACTTTTAATCTTTTGAATCTCAACTCTGTACTTTAACATACTAAAGATCATTCCAAGCTTTGTGAAACCTACATATTTGACAAGTAACATTCTATGATAACATCCACATCACTGATAAAAATATTCGCAAAAACATACCAAACATTAAGTTCATAGAATAACATTAGAGACCTTTTTATCTGATTTATACTGATATTATGTATAGTTCAACAAGGTATTTGTAACTCCTTAACAGCTGCTTCTTATTGGCGAGAATATCATAAAAGATATTAAGTTTATAAAATTATGATTTGCTATGGAAATAAAGTGATTTATTAATAAAGGGTTACTTTTACTTGCCTCATTATATATAAATTATGTACATCAACTTGGCATTGTGGATAACTATAACACTGGAAGTGAAGTTAATATTACCAGTGCTCCTGAAACAAGATTCTTTATATAGATATATATACATATACACACAAAGTTTGTAAAAATATTAAATTTTGTTCTAAATTTTGTAGGCAGCTTTTCATAGGAATGCTAACAATGAAAAATTAGCATAATTATATAGTTTCATACGTATATAATGAATAAGAAAATAAAATTATGTCAAATAATGTATTAATCCTGAGGCCCTGGGAATTTCAAGATAAATTCAATATTGCATTGTTTAAACTGCAGATGGAATCTGCCCTTTCACCATACTAGCATTTACTGAATTAGCATATTTAACAAAATAAGCATATTTTTAACATCACATAGACCATATTGAATGGGAACAGTATTTTTAGTACTAATAAGGGCATTTTCAGAGTCTAAACATTAAATCTAAAAGTTGAAGTTATGGTCAAAAGGGCTTTATTAACAAGAAAAATCTACCATTTGATCGTATTACGATAAAGAAGAAATTATTTTGGGACAATTTTATCCCCCCCCACTGCTTTCTCCACTACTTCACCCACTAAATGGATTCACAGCAACTCAGCATTATATAAAGTAATTTATAAATTATCAGACATTATTTTTTCCTGTTTCAATGATCTTTCTGAAGAAATTTTTATTGATTTTCTTTTTTTTTTTAATTATCTTTTCAGAAAACCAGGAGAAAACTGGGAGACAGACATAGCTATGTGAAGCAACTGGGGGAAAATACCAACTTCCCTTTGTTCAACACATTCACTTTTGCTTCCTAGAAGGAAAGAGAAGATGAAAGACCGACTTCAAGAATTAAAGCAACGAACAAAGGAAACTGAACTCTCTAGAGATGGGCATGTGTCAACCGCAGAGGCAGAGGAACAAGGGGAGTTCCTACAGCAAGCTGTTATTTATGAAAGAGAGCCTGTAGCTGAGAGGCAGCTACATGAGGTCCAAAAATTACAGGAGAGTATTAACAATCTAACACATCATGTTCAAAAATTTGGGCAGCAACAAAAACTTCTCATGGCTTCAATGAGAAGGTTTAGTCTACTTAAAAGAGACGCTAGCATTACAAAGGAGATAAAAATCCAAGCAGAACACATTAAGAGAAATTTGGATGATTTAAGGAAAGACATTAAAAAGTCAGAGGAAGAAAATGGTCCATCAGCAGTGGTCACCAGGATACTTAAATCTCAGCATGCTGCCATGTTTCGCCATTTTCAGCAAACTATGTTTGCATACAATGACACAATAGCAGCAAAGCAAGAGAAGTGTAAGACATTTATTTTTCGTCAGCTTGAAGTTGCTGGAAAGGAAGTGTCTGAAGAAGAAGTAAGTAATATGCTTGATCAAGGAAAATGGGAAGTTTTCACTGAAAGCTTACTTACAGAAATCACTATCACTAAAGCACAACTCTCAGAGATTGAACAGAGACACAAGGAACTTGTTAACCTGGAGAACCAAATAAGGGATCTAAGGGACCTTTTCATTCAGATATCTCTTTTAGTAGAGGAACAAGGAGAAAGCATCAACAATATTGAAATGATAGTGAACAGTACAAAAGAATATGTTAGCATTACTAAAGAGAAATTTGGACTGGCTGTAAAATACAAGAAAAGAAATCCTTGCAGAGCATTGTGTTGTTGGTGCTGTTCACCCTGTAGCTCTAAATAAAGAAGGTATTTTGGAAATATTTCCAGCTTTAGAGTGCATGTGTCCCGTATTTCAGTGTCTTGTATTATTTTAATTCATTTCATGTATCCCTTCAAATACCTTTAATAACTATTAAGTCATAATTTGCCCCTTCTAGCTCTCATTCACTAGAAATACAAAAACATTTGAAGCCAATGACATAAAACAAGTCTTTGTAAACCTATTGAACTCCACAGTCATGTAAAAATAGCTAAGTAGTTTAAATAAATGTGAAACATTGTGCTTTCTAGTCTCTTCTAGATTTAGATAATCATAATAACCATTTAATCAAACTAAAAACAGTATGATTACCATTAAACATTCAGGTTAACTACTGAAAATGAGATGAATAATCTTAAGGTTCTGATCAAGTATCAAGCTGAATTTTCATTTATATTATATCCAATGCTTTAACAAGACGAGTAATGACCTTGTAAGCAATCTTCTTGATTCCTTTTTAAATATTTTGATAATTAAGACCTCAAAGTTGCAACACTAATGGAAAACCAATCTACAACTTGTATCAAATCTTTATGTTCAGATAGGTCACCTAACTCAGTGATGTACAAATCCTAGTAAAACCTAACCAGGCAATTGATAAAGAATCTAGTTGGTAACTGGGAGCTGAATCTAGCTTAAGGCTTAAGTTGGCAGGTTCAGGCAGAATTTTCTTGAAATTGTGTCCACTTAATACAATGAATTCCAAATCAGGAGGACTAGCAGATAAAGTCAAAATGCAGGCAACTGTATTCTTGAAGGTTTCTTTCTCATTTTGTTGTGAAATTAGGCACTGAACTATGGGCTAGAGTTATAATTTGAACATATACATAGAGATTTGAAACTCAAATTTTAGCAGAGAAACGACATAGCAAACGAATACAACTTGATGATGTAAGTTCTGTGCAGAGACTTAAAATAGGGTAATGACAAAAAGGCTATCAGGGTAACTTCTTTAGGGTAGATGGTCAATGATAGAATCTCTGAAAGGTAACGTTTAAGTGAAGAACTGAGTGATGATGATAAATTCCAGTATTTAGCCCAGGCCTTGGAAGCAAATAATACAAAGATATTGCAGAGGGTATTAGCTAATTTTGTTCAAAAAGAGATGACCACTATAGCTGAACCATCAAAACCAAAAAACTCACTGTTGTCAAGTCGGATCCAACTCATAGTGACCACACCTTGGGTTTCCGAGGTCGGAAGGAAGATGGGGCAATCTGCTTCCATAGTGATACTACCTCAGAAACCCAAGGAGGGGTCTCTATGAGTCAAGTCCGACTTGACGGCACATAACAACAACAACATCACTACGGAAGTAGATTGCCCAACCTTCCTTCCAAGGAGTGGCTGGTGGGTTTGAACTGCCAGCCTTCTGGTTAGCAGTCAAATGCCTTAGGCACTATGCCACCAGAGCTGCTAGTGGGAGAGAAAGGAGTATAGTAAGCCATAGAAAGAAACTTAAAGTTTACAGGATATAATCAACGCTAAGTCCTCAGACTGTTTTAGGTCTGGGAGTAATGTTCTATGATTTATATTTAAGAAACATCAGTATCTATTGCATGGAAAGTGGATCAGAATGAATTCTGGGCAGTTAAGCACAGAGCAAGAATGTAGGAATGAAAAAAAATATGAGATATCTATTGTAGTAGACCCGAAAACAGATGATGGAAATTTAGAACAGAATGGTAATGGTAACGGTGATGGTGGTAGCAACAGCAGTACTAATATACAACACAACATTAATATGTTGTTGTTGTTGTTATGTGCTGTCGAGTCGGACCCGACTCATAGTGACCCTTCCATGGGTTTCCAAGGCGGTATCACTACAGAAGTAGATTGCCCAACCGTCCTTCCAAGGCGTGGCTGGTGAGTTTGAACTGCCAGCCTTCTGGTCAGCAGGCAAGTGCCTTAGGCACTACACTATATAGTACTTGTTATTTTTCTAATCAATTTACAGTAGGTAAAAGTTGAGAAAGACACTATTCTAATTTTAACAGTAAGAACACTGACGTACAGGAAGGTTAAGTAACAACTGATAGAAACTCCACGTAGAGAATCAGGATTTGAACCCAAGTAGTCTGATTCTCCATTGTCTGTCACTCTGGAAGTCACTCAGGTGAAAAGGCACACAAAATGTGACTGCCATCTCAAACTACAGTCAACCTTAAAGATGTAGATGAACACATAAAAATCAATATCCTAGGTATTAGTGAGCTGAGATGGACTACTGCTGGCCATTTTAAATCTGACAATCATGTGGTCTACTTTGCCAGATATAACAAATTGAATAGGAATGGCATCACATTTATCAAAAAAAAAACTTCAAGATCTATCTTGAAATGCATAGCTTCAGGAACAGAATAATATCCATACACCTTCAAGACTAGTTAATATGCTGGTCTTTATTCAAATTTATACCCAATTACTAATGTCAAGGATGAAGAAATTGAAGATTTTTACCAGCTTCTGCAGTCTGAAATTGATCAAACATGCAATCAAGATGCACTGATAACTGCTGGTGATTGGAATGCAACAAATGGAAACAAAGAATAAAAATATGGCGTTGGTGATATGCCAGATTACATGATAGAATCTGGCAAGATCAATAACTTATTCATTGCAAATATTTTTTCCTAAACAACATAAACAGTGACTATGTAGGCTTTGCTAGATGGAAAACTAGAAAAAAGTCACATTGACTAAACTGTAGAAAGAGATGATGGAAAAGCTCAATATCATGAGTCAGAGTAAGACCAGGGGCTGACTGTGGAACAGACTATCAATTGTTTACATACAATTTCAAGCTGAAGTTGCACAAAATTAAAACAGTCCATGAGAGACAAAGTACAGCCTTGAGTATGTCTCTCTGAATTTAGAGACCTTCTGAAGAATAAATCTGACGCACTGAACACTAATGACTGAAGACCAGGAGAGGTGTGTGATGACATCAAAGACATCATAAAAGAAGAAAGCAAAAGGTCATTAAAAGGATAAGAAATAAAGAAAGGGCCAAAATGGATGTCAGAAGAAACTCTGGAATTTGCTCTTGAACATACTTACCTACTTACCCATTGCCCTCGAGTCAAATCCGACTCATAGTAACCCCTCCATGGTTTCCAAGGCGGGATCTCTAAGGAAGTAGGTTGCCCAGTCTTCCTTCTGAGGAGTGGCTGGTGGGTTTGAACCGCCAGCCTTCTGGTTAGTAGTCAAGTGTCTTAGGCACTATGCCACAAGAGCTCCCAACACAGGAGCTCTTGAACATAGGAGTAGGTAAAAACAAACAAAAGAAATGATTAAGTAAAAGAGCAGACCAGAAGACTTCAAAGGGCAGCTTGAGAAGACATAGTAAAATACTATAATGAAATGTGCAAAGACCTGGAATTAGAAAACTAAAAGGGAAGAATACACTTGGCATTTCTTAATTTGAAAGAACTGAAGGAAAAACTGAAGTCTTAAGTTGCAATATTGAAGGATTCTGTGGGCAAAATATTGAATGACACAGGAAGTTTCCAAAGACGACAGAAGTGCTCACTTGTCTATGCCAAGAAACTTGGAAGATAGGTACCTACCCAAACAACTGGAAGAGATCCGTATTTGTGCTCATTCCAAAGAAAGGTGATCTAAGAGAATGCAGAAATTATGGAATGGTATCATTAATATCACATGCAAGTAAAATTTTGCTGAAGATAACTCAAAGACAGTTGCAGTGGTATATAGGGAACTGCCAGAAATTGAGGCTATATTATTCAAGTAAGCAGAATGAAAAATATTACTGCTGATGTCAGTTGGATGTTGGCTAAAAGCAGAGAATACCAGAAAGATCTTTACCTGTATTTTATAGACTATGCAAAGGCATTCGCTAAACATAGAGTCAACCAGCTAAGTTTTATTGCAAACTACATCACCTACAAGTGTGTCTACACACCATTAAGACACAAAGGAACTAATCTCTCTGAAAGGAGGGTTGAAATTGAGTCAACAGTAGAACTAAATGAGAATGAAGATGTCAATTTGGCAAGTCCCAACAAAAGAAGAGAAATCTTAAGTCAATGGGCCCCCTAAACACAAATAACAGGAGTTGCAAAAGGTGAAAACAGTAAATTAGGGGCTTTATCACTATATCTAAGGTTCAAGTGATTAAGTGAAATAGGATCCAATGGTGCTTGAAGTGTCTGCAGTAGGCAGAGATGCTATTTGGAGTCTTTGGCAGGTCCCTATTGGTGAATCATAACCCAGACCCTTGGAATTTTGGAGCAAAGCCCTGCCATCCTCTGCAGATAACTACTCTCCTTTTGAGAAACAGCTTTTGGCTCATTACTGGGCTTTAGTAGAGACTGAATGCCTAACCATGGGCCAGCAAGTCACCATGAGGCCTGAGCTGCCCATCATGAACTGTGTGTTGTCTGACACACAGAGTCATAAAGTTGGATGTGCACAGCAGCACTCCATCATTAAATGGAAGTGGTATATCAGAGATCAGGCTCGAGCAGGACTTGAAAGCACTAGGTAACTGGAACAGCTCCTTAATTACATGAAATAAGTAGTCCAAATTTATGGAGTATCAACATTCTAAACAGGACCCAGATTGTCATATTTATTAAAGGTCTAACTTAATAAAAATACATTTAATTTCATTTTTAATAACAATACCAGTGTAGTCCATAACCTAGTTAACTTCTCCTGGTACTATAATTTTTTATATGTATAATATTTTATTAGGAGCTCTGGTAGCATAGTGGCTAAAGCACTTGACTGCTAACCAGAAGGCTGGCGGTTCAAACCCACCAGCCACTCCTCGGAAGGAAGGTTGGGCAATCCTACTTCTGTAGTGATACTGCCTCGGAAACCCAAGGAGGGGTCACTATGAGTCGGGGCCGACTCGACGGCACATAACAACAACAATATTTTATTATATTTTTATAATAATAAAAATGACTCAAAGAAACCTGTAGACTAACATCTTCCTGTAATACTGTCTAGAAGGAAGGTGAGTC